GAAGTCAATTTGTGTAGTTTTCTTGATTTATTCTGCAGATATCGGTAAAATGTAGGTAAGGCTTTGGCGAAATTCGAAGGAGCAACTAATATTCTTAAACCTGGTATTTTTTTTAGATTTTATTTTTTATTTTTTTCGTCTTTTTTTTTGAGTTTAAAAAATGTGAGCTGGCTGGAGCCTTCATCCCTTGTCTATTTCTTACACTAGATACCAGCCGATACCCCCCCCCCCCCCCGCTCATAGAGACTGCGTATTACAGTTGATTATAGTTCCTGGGCTCCCTGTGCACTGCACAAGTTCATTGAAGAACGTTACGAAGAAGTTCCATACCCACGCGAACTTTACCCGCTTGTAATTAACACACTCTCTGACAAGATCTTGGGTAATTATATCACACATTTTTATGTTTAATTCACACACAAAAAAATACAAGACTCATTCATCGAAAGAAAATATTGTATTCCGTTTGCACAAAACTTGTTACTGTTGAATAACGAGCTTTATTATTGTATCCCTCAGAACGCGTGAGTGTTAGTATATATCAAATGAATAACGAGTTGTGTCACGTGATAGCTATTCCCGACTTCGATCTTAACAAGAAGGGAGAAATTAAAGCAGAACTTTACCAGGATTTACCCAAACCATATGTACTTGAAACTGTCATTAAAGGAAGATTCGCAAAATACAAGCACGTGTTCGTTATCGTACTGGCGTACGGATTTGAAGAGTAAGTGAAATGCGCACATTGTAAACTCAATATACGACGTAATGAATTGAATGCAGGAAGACAGTTACTTTGGGCGATCTGTTTTTTTTAATGAAAAAAATTACATATTTCACGCTATACAACTATGTCATTGAAATATATGTGCACTCTTTCTTGATAATGCAAAATGAGGAAAGTTGAATCGACTTGAAAATGATATGTCATGTTCGTCATACTTTTGTGATTACGTGCGAGTTAAATTATTTATTTCGTACTGACACGGACTGAAAAGGCGCTATATTATGTTTATAAATCCTAATATTCTTAAAACATTACAGCAAAAATAAAAAAAGATAAAAATTAATATAATTTAGTAAGTACGATGACAACAATTTTTCGTTATATACAATTGCCTTGTATTACATGAATGCGCAGGTGACAACCCTCCCGCTTTAAAGGGCGGCAGTCGTCGTGCCGCGTCCTATTCGATGTGGGACTCATAACGACGTATACAACGCGTGTAAAATACATTGTTTATTTACATGAAATTCGAACACGTGCTACGCGACGACCACCGCGCTTTAAATAGCTTTTTCCGTTAATACTAGAATTACACTGTGCAATCTATCATTGTACCAAGTGCTATAATATCACATACAACGTCAACAAATCTTTCTTTCTTTTTATTAGCTTCGGAGAACATGGCAAACACGCCATGGATTTTGCTCACTTCCCCGAACTGAACGCTACTGATTGTCAGGCATTTCTGCATCCCGTTATTACCTACTACAAGGACGGTGACCTGAAAGATGAACTGAAATTACCAGAGTCGTTAATACTAAGATTCGACATTTCTTTGACTCTAAACCAAAACCCAGATGTGGGAAATAACAGGATGAGAAATTTCATCAACAAACAGGTAATTATTTTATTTTTTTTCATTTGCATAATCATCTCATTCAAGGTTATTTAATTTCACTCCTTCAGACATAGACATTGTCAAAGAGCTGAAAGACAACAAGGTTCTGCATTCGTGAAAATGATTGCATTTAGAGCCACAAATAACAAACGTCGCTGCATATAATCTGTTAAAACTTACTGATATATGACTATATATTATGAAAAACAACTCATGTTTATAATATAATAAAACTGGTGACATGGCAAAAATTAATTTTCGATATAAACATAATTTTTCATGTGATTTTTCTGCTGACATTTGTAAATTTTGATTCACTTTCGCAATATTGGAGTCCATGTGAAGCACTTACAAGTTTGTGCCATACTATCTAGCCCCAACAGTTGGACCAATCAGAAAGCAGCTTGTTTTTGATGTTTAAAATTCTGTCTTGTGTACATTATTTGACTCAACTGGGCACTATTAATAATATGTGCCAAGAGTGAGATCCGAGTAATTATTCGTTTATTAAATAAACCAATCATCCATCCATCTCTGTGGATTAAATCGCCATATTGGGTAATAACTCGCACCATATATTCTCTTACAGCTCAATCTAAAGCCCGGACAACATTTGTATGAAGGATTCTTTATGGAGAAAGTGTCAGAAAGGGTCACTCCCTTCACAGAGGAAGAGAAATATAGAGTACCAGACCTTAGCATATTCAAGTCGTGCATTCCATTCAGCGTTGACCTAAAACCAAAAATGTCTTAATAATGTTTTAACCAGAAATCACTCTACTCCATGTGGAATTGTAAATAATAGCTACAATGGATGAAACGACACAGTTCTATTCTTTATGGAATGACCCATTTTCCGTTCATTGTGTGATCCCGCATTAAGAGTGAAATCGTGAGATCAAGTGACAAGAAAGCAAAAATGTTAAATCGCTACCGGTACTGTTTTTTTAGTATTATTACCAGTACAAATTGTTATACTAGAAGTATTATCGAACTATTATTAATAACAAACTATTGTATTTGTTGTATTCTTTGAATAACAATGTACTTGATTAGTATTCAACATTAAATATTGGCAAATATAAATATCCTGGTAATTATCATACACTATGTGAATGTATAAATGGTAAAAGCTGGGAATACCACTAAACAAATAGTCTACCCGTCCTTTGCAATTTTTACACTTAATATATTATACACTCAATATATTATTTTATTAAAAACAAGTCAGTGAAAATGACACAGTCTTCGTTCTCTTTTGTGCTTGTCATATTAAAGTGGAGGGGTTGTCGCGAGAGTGTCCTTAAAACTTGAGTTCCAAGTGGGGTATACAAAAGATTGTTTATTTACATCAAAACACGTGTTTCGTGTCATACTATTATGGCCAAAATAAAAACAGCTGTTATTAGGCCACCTTTGATCTGATTATGAAACACACTGATATGTATGATGTATGTGCCAAATACGAATGAAAATGGTACATAAATTGTGGAAATATAGTAGTAAGGCCAAAAAGTCAGTTGGCTGTCAATCGACCATCCTTGACATGTATAAACTACATGTATGTGCCAAATTTGAATGAAAACTGACAGAGCACGTCCAAGATACCGCATAAAAAAACCAAAACAAGATGCCTGCCAGTCGACCATCTTTGATCCAATTGTGAAATAAATCGTCATGGACATGTATCCTAACATGTATAATTTATGTACCAAGTTTGAATGAAAACTGGCAAAGCATGTCCAAAATACAATATTTTCAAAAAATAAGATGGCTGCCAGTCGGCCATTTTGAATCTAATCGCTAAACCACTGCATGTGCATATGTCCCACATAAGGTACTAGGCACATGCAAAGAATGAACGAAATCGGTCCAGAGGATTCTGAAATATGATGTTGGACAGACTGACGCATGGACGGACGGACGGTTGAACAGACGGACTCAGGAACTAACGGACGGTCGGGACATGTATCCTAACATGTATGATCTATGTACTAAATTTTAATGAAAACTGACAAAGCATGTCCGAAATACAACATTTTCAAAAAACAAGATGGCTGCCAGTCGACCATTGTGAATCGAATCGCTAAACCACTGCATGTGCATATGTCCCACATAAAGTACTAGGCACATGCAAAGAATGAACTGAATCAGTCCAAGGGATTCTGAGATACGACACGCACAGACGTACAGACGGAGACCGAATTACAAGTCCCCGTTTTCGGACTTCGTTCGAACGGGGACTAAAAAAATCAATGAATGTTTAATTTGAAATTTTTTGGGTTGCACATTTTCATCCAAATGTGGCGGACAACCCACATGATCAATCACAATGTCTAGAACCAATATATGCTACAACCCAAACATCTGTTGATTTAATTGTTTCCATTTCTTTTTTGTCGAGAGATTGAAACACGTTTTTCCTGTGTTTAATCTTTATAACATGTCGGTCATTTATATTATATACATCCAGCAGACTAGTTGCCATTCGTAATTTCTACAACTAAATCTAATTCAGATACAGCAACCGTTTTTTGTATTTAATTTCATTTGAGGCTGAAAAACAAATCATAAGATACAATAAGATACACGCAACATTTCAGGTAATTAAGATGAAAGGATATGAAGAACATATGTAAAGCTTCACGGAACAATGAACTGATAACTTCTTATAATCAAGTACTGTGGCCTTTCTATTTCACTCGGTTGTATTTCTTACATGTCAGGAAATGTTGTCCCGAGGATGCCGTAAAGCATGCATGCAGACAGATCCACTGGGTGCTGTAAGTCAAAGACGCATTCCCGAGCCAACATTTAGCAGTTAGCCCAGAAACTGAGCAAAAAGGTGAAAATAATTGAAATTTACTGCTTTGAATTACCGCGTAATCGTATTTACAATTTGTATATCCTAATGAGGTGTATGCATATGCTCCAAGTAACACATAATTAATGGAAATACCGTAACATGTGCATGAAGTAAATGCGTTGATTATTCATTGGATATTGGTTGCGCCGATACACATGAACATGTGAAAAAAATCAATCAAATCTTGTTTCCCTGGCTAAAACCGTGTGAATATGCTCAAAAGATCAAAATAGTGAAATTAAATGCCGTTACAAAATAAATGGTTTTACAGTACTATCATTAATTTATAAGATAAGGGGATGCAACTTCCATAATCGTTCAGAGAAATGAATGATAATGCTGGAATTTTCATAAAAGAAAATAAATGCAGCTCATGCTCATGCGTCAGATGGCCATAGCGTGTCAATGTTTACAAACAAGTGTCTACCCATGAGGCTTTGCATTTTCAGCGCGTGTTGTTATCGACGATTGGGACTCATTGGCAACAAAAATACACAACATTAAAGAAATTTAAAGTAAAAAGTTGTTTATTTGTCCAATACTGCAAGAATTCTAGACAAAACTTAAATATCGCTCCTGATGGCCAGGATATATACACAAGAAAAAAATGAATCAGAATCCATTGTCTTTTAACCAGTCTTTGATTTCTTGTACAAATATTCCTTTGTAATAGATAGTCATGGCAACTTCATTTACATGCGATACCACAGTTTCCCCTATAATAGATGCTAAATGAGTTTTCAAATCTTTGTCTAAGGCCTGTAACAACAAAAACATCAATTTCAGTCACAATGTGGTAAATATCACAATATACTTGAATATAACCAGGTTTGATGTACTCGAACAGCATTATCTGACATGAATTGGAAGGTTTATTTTAGCTATTTCTAGACAGTCACTAGCAGGGTTTGCGTTAGTGTCTCGGCAAGACGAGTCCTACTTACATATTAGAGATTGGACCCCAGCTTGCTTTAAAAAACAGAGTCACTCTTCAATAATTCGAGAACGAGAAGCAAAATATGGGGTTAGCGCAATCCCTGACTAGTATTGATTAGTATGAAATTTTCTATTTTAATGTGCTTATTTTCTTTGATAAAACATTTTTAAAAACAATTTAAGCAATAGTAATGTTAACGTATTATATATCGGTATATAACATTTCACCTTCCTTGTAGATTTTAGAAAAACATGTTTTATTGTATTGTATTTCGTAAAACCTCAGATTAGTCTTATTGGACCAATCATAGACCTTAGGTCTATAGACCAATGTTTAAACTCTAATATAGGATTCAATAGAAGTAGACACTGGACGAATGTAAACATCACGCAAACTGTAGACTTACATGCAAAAATATTTTTTTTTTTCCCCCATGGTTTTAACAAAATTGATTATTCAGTCATTGTTCTATAAAAGAATATCTATTTCCTTGCTTTGCTATGAAATATATGTGTGAACTTCAAGTTTTATCATGAAAGCATGTTTTAGAAAACACGATCAGTTCTGTACAAATGCTGAAATCGGCCATTTTTTCCATAAGAACAAGAATTTGAGTTTTCATGGTAATTTTTAAACTTTTAATAATGATAGGTCATGTATGAAACACAACTTCTATAATGACATTGACCCTGACTTAAGCACCAATTCTTAAATTTCCTTCAAGATTATCAATATGCAGCAGTCTCATAAAGCTACATTCAAAGTAATACAGACTTACCCAAATGTCACCTTCTATTCGTCTAACTTGTGTAAGATGTTGATTTCCCCCTGCTTTGTACAGTGCATATACTGGCCAGTTATGAAAGCGAGTCCTTCTCACATGATATGGGCAGGCTTCTGATGGCTCTTAAATAGATGAAACATTTCACAGACATTTATACTTTAAGTGATACAAGATAAGCTTCCTCCCATAAACACCAGCTTATCGTTACTACCTAAGTATTCTTTTATTTCTATAGCTATAGTTACTAGTATTATTTACAGTTAAATACTGTGTTTCCTTGGATACAGTTAGCTGTTACAAAAAAACTGTTTGTAACTTTGTAAAACTATATGTCAAACTAAAATTAAAATGGGAAAAAACAAGCTATCAAGAAATTTTTCGACCTACCTTTCGGTGGTACCCATCCTGAAGGCGTAGGGTAATGTGAATGTTTAGGTGGAGGTGGTACTTCTAATTGTGGCAGTAAACGCTCAACGTGTTTGAACTCTTCTTTTGATTCAATATAGTCTACATACTTGTTTTTGTCATCACCAGGTTGTGATTGAAGAGATAGTTTACAGTTCTGCTAGAAAAAAATCATACCTCTTATTATATCATGAACATCAGTATTTAACAATATACTTTACATGTATCAGTGATTCAGCCATAAGATCATTAAAGCTATATAAAACAAAACAAAATAAGGGTAACAATAAAAACAAAAAATAACTTTTTATAGACTAGTCAAGATATATAGGAGTCATGTGTTTGTGGTTTCAGGATCCAGTTTTCAAGAAATGGGACATGAACCTCAGCCATGGAACTACTGATAAAAGGAGACACTGAGTTTTGAAATCATGCACGCTAACCCATTCAGCAAAGTGCCTTGCGATGTTGCTGACTGACTGAATAGTTGATTGGGAAGGGGGTACAGTAAACTACACAGTAAACTTTGTACATCAAAAACATGCACCAACAATCCTGAAAAAAAAAAAAGAGGGCAGGACTCCAGAAGACGTACCTACACTTTATGCAAATTTTTGTTAATTATGCTAATTTATTCATGACGTAGCAGTTTCTGTGCTCATGAATATTTATTAATTTGTGGGTCAATACATTTTAAAAGGGGCGATATATTATTTTTGGGGGAAGAGTTAGAAAGGGGGATCAGTAATCATTAGGGAGTCAATACAAAAGAAGGGACCCATTTGGAGAGCAGCCATGCTCCTCGTGTCTGTTGTTGCACGTGACCTACAGCTGTCAACTGTGTTCGTTCTTCGTCGACTTTGACTGGCTTCCATGTGAGGTAGTATTCTTGTGTTCTGTTTTTCTGACTTGAGTTTTTGAATCCGCTGTTTATGTTTTTAACGTCTTTCATGTCTTTTGTAGGAGTGTCCAATCCGTGATTCAAACTTGCGATCTTTGAGTTCCCAGCGCACTGTCTTGTCCACTGTACCACGAGTGTCTTCACACAAGAGATAGGATTTAAGTCCTATTCATAGGAGCACTGTCTTCACTAGCATTCAAAAATCTAACTAAACATACTGGATTCGAACCAGCGATCGCTCACATTGCTGACATAGTACAAATCAACTGAGCTATGTGGGTAGTCATGCAAATTGAATAATTTGTTGTCATATTTAGCTTTATTGCCAAATAGTGTTTGCGAGAAAAAGATGGGCAGGCAAGCAAATTGAACCCGGGTCCTCCTGATCACTATGTAGAGATCTGACCCACAAGACCACGATGGATTGAGTGGTTGTGTTTGCATTTGATAAGAGTATATAGTGTGTATATATATTGAGTTACAATTGTCCAAAAAATTGGCAATTTTGTGTTTTTACTTGTGTAAACTATATACATGGCATAACCCGTTAGTGTACATTTTGTCAATTGGGTGTTTGCCATTTGCGTTGCCCATACTTGACCCGACCCTAACCCTAATGCCAAGACACGTTCCTGTTAGTAATTCCGTTGCCCATACCTGACCCGACCCTAAACCTAATGCCAAGACACGTTTCTGTTTATATTTGCTCAATAATGATACTCTGTTGTGCACTGTCTGCGGGTAAGTTGCATTGATGTCAACTGATTAAACAAGTCGCGTTTAAGTAATTTCCACTATTAACAAGTGGTTAAATTGTGACAATAAATGTGTGGACAAATATTTGAGATTAATTTTGGTGTAGACAACTCGTTTAATTATTTTACACCATTACAAGTTGTTAAATTGAGAGAATAAATTTATCAACAAATATTTAATACTTAGTTTGGTGTGAACAACTCACGTTTGATTAATTCCCACAATTACAGGCTGTTAAATTAAAAGAATAAATGTGCGGACAAATATTTTAGACTTATTTTGGTGTAGACAGCTCTCGTTTGATTAATTCCCACAATTACAAGTTGTTAAATTGAGAGAATGAATGTGCGGACAAATATTTTAGACTTATTTTGGTGTAGACAGCTCTCATTTAACTATTTTACACCATTACAAGTTGTTAAATTGAGAGAATAAGTGTG